ACAACCCAGCACCCTGCCCCAGTGAGCACCTTTCAAGAACACTGTCCGTACCCAAATGTCAGAGGTGGTTTGGGATGAGTGCAATCATAGCAACACAGTACAGAGACCTTCAGGAATTTTCTTCTGGATTTTGCAAATGCGAACCTGTCCTTTGTCATATCTAGAATAAAGTTCCCCACTGGATTCTTGTAAAATCAAGGTCAAGTATTTTAACCGAGCTGCCAAAATTGTGGCTCCTGTGCTCTGAATTTTAAGCAAGTGAAGAGAAAAATATTCCCAGTCTAGGTAAGCTCAGAAATTGGCTGGGTCTCCATCTGGACAAGTAAACTCCATACTCACCTCAGGCAGTGGAATGGGGATCAAAACATGCAGTTTTCTTCATTCTAAACAAATGCTGAAGGGTTCATGTTTTGAGGTGCCTATGCCTGTTGCCACCAGCCAGCTGGCTCAGGCAGGGATGTCTGCAATGTCCACAGTTACAAGCAGGATAATGGAGCCCTGACTCAGTTTCAAGCTTGTTTGGAAACCCACCATCTTCCTAGATACCACTCATAGGATTTCAAATAAAACATGGGTCTGGGTTTTTCGTTGTTTTTTGTTTTAGTTTGGTTTGGTTTTTACAGCTTGAGGCCTCATTTCAAAACAGTTGTTCCCAATTAACTTCAAGGTATCAGATCTGTTCAAACGGAACTCTAGGGAGTGACCATGTTGTGTGAAGCTAGCATAGCTGGATAAGAAATCCCTCCTTGTTGGCATGCATGCACTCACCCACCTGTGACACTGTTCTTCTTTGGGGAGCACTTTTTGCCCTGCAGCATAAAAGCCACTGCATCCTCATGCTGCTTCTCTGATGGCTCCATCCTGCTGAGGCCTGAGATACATAAAAATGAGAGGTTTAGGTTTTTCTGTTGGACTGCAATGTTGGGACCAAAGGAGCCTTTCAGAAGCAGGAACAACCTCTTTGCATCCCTTACGAGTCCTGGGTTGTTTGGGGAAGGAGGTTTTCTTCAGCCTGCAGATATGGAAGTGATCCCAAAGTAAAAGGGTCCTGGAGACACCTCCATGTCATGAAACTGATCCAGAAGCAAACTGAATCATGGAATCGTTTGAGCTGGAAGGGATCCTTATAGGCCATCTGGTCCAACTCCCCTGCAATGAACTGGGACACCTACACTAGATCAAATGCACAGAGCCCCATCCTGCCTGAACATGAATGTCTCCAGTGATGGGGCATCCACCACCTCTCTGGGCACCAGAGCCTCACCCTCCTTACTATAAAAAACTTCTTCCTTATATCCATTCTAAATCTCCCCTCTTTTGGTTTGAAACCATTCCCCTTGTCCTATCACAACAGACCCTGCTAAAGGGTTTGTGCCCCTACTTTGTTACAGCCCTCTGAATAAACCCTGTTAAGGCAGGAACAGCAGCAGCCAGATTGCAATGGAAGGAGCAAGAGATAAGAAAAAGAGTAGGAACGGGGGTAGAAGAAGTGGCAGGGAGTAGAACTTTTATTTTAAAATAAGAATTGTTTTTTAAATGTTCATTATCTGCAATTGAACAGTGAGTATTTCTGTAACTAGGCTAGAAGGTGATGGCTAACAGAATCCAGATCAGAGCACCTGCAAAGAGGTTAGTTTTATTTATCCATAAATATTTGATGTCCTAGCACTCAGTCTTTTAATTCCCTTGAACATATATCCTCAGAGAAACCACACATGGGGGTCAGCCTATCTGTCCCTTAGAATCTGAGCTCAAAATCTGAGCTCGCAGATCCACGAATCGCTTTCTCCAGATGCTCACTTCCCTTGAAGTACAAACTCCGAGTCATGCATGGCGCAGAGAGTGCAGCATCCCGGTTATGGAGGCACCCGGAAGGGAAGGCGATGGGGGAAGGGGCAACGGATGGGAAAAAGAGAAAGGGATCAGGAAATAGGGAGGACAGGAAGGGGCTCCTTGCCTGTGTGAGAAACAAAGAGGCGCACCGCAGCAGTCCCCTCCTCACTCACCCACAGTTGCAGCACAAAGTCTCCCACGCTCCCTCCGGGACCCCACGCTCTTTCCTCTCCCCCTTTCCAGGGCAGCCACCCCCACAACACGCAGGACCCTGCCCCAGAGCATCCCCCCTAGGCGGGCGTTTTACCATGGGCAGGGACACGCAGCCAGCACTGTAGGGCCAGGACCCTCGTTCCCCCCATACGGACCCCTCATCCCTCCCCCAGGGAGCAGCAGCAGCAGGGCAACCTGGGAGACGTAGTTTCAGCGCTAAGCGTGGCCCAGAGATGCACGGGGGAGTCAGCCCTCCACCTCCCCTCCACTATGGGGGCACTGACTTCCCAAATCCTGCCTTTCATGCCCCTTGCTCCGAGCCCACCCATCCCACAGGCCCCCGCTGCTTTTCCAGGCAAACAAGCAAACTGTGCTTTGCCTCCAGGTTTCAAGCCAGAAGGCATCCTGCTCTCAGTATTTTGTTCCCCTTTCTCTCTCTCTGCAACCACATTAAAAATATTCCTTAAAAGAAAAAGCTGCAATTGGCATAAGATCCTGCAAGTCCTGGAGCTGAGAAGTTTTAAAAAAGAAACATGTCACACGGCAAAGTTTCACAATAAAATGGTGAGATAAATATTCATTAACTAGCATCATTATAAAACAGGCAGGCTCATTCCTTGTGAGGGAAGCTTAGATAGTCTCCAGTGCTCAAAAATTGTGAGACTAGCCAAAAAATCTGAGCTGGAGGAGAGCCAGTGCATAGCCAGGCTGAACAATGACAGCCCATAATCATTTTCTTCTCACAGCAGACAAATGGTGACAAGCATGTGTAATGTTCAGCATTAGCCTGATACCGATTTCCAGGCTGATTTCTTGAAGTACAAAAACTTGAACAGATAGTCATAAAATCACCAAATGAGGGAATAATTATCTTTGAGAGAGTTTCCTTGATGTCACCTGCCACAGCCCCAAGTAGGGCCACCATCAGGGCTGGATCCAAAGCTAGGTCCTGCTCAGAACCACATGGCAAGAACTTCTTCAGGCATGGAGATTCCCACCCAAGGTCTGATCACCCTCAGGATTATTTCCTTCTTCTCCTTCATACCAATTGCATTTCTCTTGATATGCCCAAGGCTTGTTGCTTCTTGCTGGTCAACAGTGTTCAACAGACTCTTCTTGCTGCATGTTGCTCTATTTTGGGGCAATTTGGTGAGTCTTTGATTCCTCTGCCAGAAATCAGCCCAAATTACAGAGTTTTGCAGGGTCTGGGAGTTCTCATTGCACCACATGGTATGGTCTGCAAGGAGGAGACCCAGGCATGCACCACAGCAACAGGCTTTTCTCTCCTACACAAGCCCCTGTTTCTAAAGGAAGGATACCTGGATAAAGAGGCAGAGCTCTAACTGGGACAACTGAGGACACAGAGACTCAGATCATTCAACGTGTACCTGCCCTGCCCTCTAGATGAAGATGTGGGAATCCAGCACAGGCACACGTTGAGATTTCACCTTCAACTAACATTGCTTTCTTTTATCTTCCACTGCAGCATTTTCCTCTTCCTCCAGAAGTGCATTTCCGTGGTCAGTCCTCCAAGAGCATAAGGAAGCCATTTGGGCAAGAGACACAACAGCGACAAGGGGACAACCGACCAGCCTTGCTAAGGCCATGGGGACATGCTGATGGAGAGCCAAGACGAACCCAGCCTTTCTACCCACCAGTCTTAGCACAAGATGGAGCCATCCCCCTTCCTATGAATAGGCTTCCATGTGAGCTGTGCTCAAGAGTAAAATAAGTTACAATCCCCTCACCCTTTCCTCTTGAGGGAGCAGATCAGCAGGTGGATTTATGCCTCAGTGAGGCTCATCTGGGGCAATAGTACACCTGCCCTGATGAGCACTTACTGGTTGGGTCCCCAGCTGCCCCCAGAATTCTCACACAGCAACTTTCCCTTCTGCATCACCCCCTCCAGTTTGATTTAAGGTTGGAGGCTTTAACTCATTCAGCATCCTCCTGTAAGTATTTCTCAGGTGACTGATTTCCTCCTCCGTTTCATTAGGGGCACCCAGCTCATGCTGTTCTCCCAGCAGAAGCCACACTCCACTTGTCACAGCTATCCCCAAACAGCTCTGTAATTTCTCCCCCCATCACAGCAAAGGCAAAGCCCAGGGGACATTTATTAAGAAACAGACTCAGTAGCTTTTTATAGTTAAGCTTGGGTCATTAATCTCTATCAAGAGCTTTCATAATCTTCCTCAGGCTCACCGTATTTGTTTAACTCTCTGATAGTCACTGCATGGGTCTTGGGATAATTGCAGATTAACTGCTTTTCAATATTAATGGCTCTTCATTAATGCTTTGAGCTCTCCCTACTCCAGAGCCTGCAGCTTCCTACAGGCTGCCTGGTGCAAATTACGTCCCTTTTGTAGTTTGAGGCCAAATACAGTGAAACAAGCCCAAATCTTTGTGCTATGGCTGTTTGTTTAACAAAGGAAGAAGGCTTTTCCAGGTGTATTTTGGAGTAAGAGCAATTTCTTTGCCAGGAACAGAGTGGGGTCAGGCAGTGTCTGTGCCAATCTGGCTTAAGTCTTCTCAACTGAATTAAAATTCTCTTAAGAGCAATCCCCTTCTTTGTCAGCTCATTGAAATACTAATTCAGGGAGCTGGGAGGCTCCTGAGGCTGCAGACAATGCAGAAGATCCACCTCAAAACAGGAGGGATTTTTAGTTACCCACCTTAAGGCACCTCGAGGAGGATGTGAGGGCACAAGCAGCACCTAGACTACATGAAACCCACAGAGAACTGACAAGACGGCTGCAACTCAGCCTTAATAAGCATAGCATTCACAAGGTGGTTTCCTAAGAGGGTGGGTCAAGAACTGGGATGGGCTGCCCAAGGAAGTGGTGCAGTTTCCCATACCTGGAGATATTTAAGAAATTTATGGACTAAGGGACATGGTTTGGTGGTGGGACCTATTAGATCCAGCTGATGGTTGGAATCGGTGATCTTGAATGCCTTTTCCAACCTGTGATTCTATAATAATAATGTTCTATTCAAAAAATATCAAATGACACAATGTTTTTTTCATAAGCTTAAAGCTCTCTGTATTCATCCCCCAGCTGCAAGTGGCTGACACAAGCCAGTTCTGCATCCACATCACCCCCTCCAGCATCACCCAGGTGCAGAGCTGCATCCAGACACCTCTGAAAACCTTCATCCTGCCCAGTGATGAGTGAGCAAGGGTGCCAGAGCTGCCTCTCGCTATCTGGTGGTCAGAGGCAGCTTGAGGTGGGACTTCAACCCCAGGGCCTTGTCCACCACATCGGGGGGTTGCAGGCTGTGCCACTGGGCGAGGGGACGCCGTGGGTTGGACAGCATGTCAGACCAGTGCTGCAGCTGGTTACCAGTGGCCCGACAGCCCAGGAAGAGTTTGCCAATGGGCTCATTCTTGGTCACTTTGTCATAGTCCCAGACGGAGATGACCACATCCACATTCTGGTGGGGACATAGGAAAAGCTGTCAGTTGGACCTTCATCAAAGCAGAGGCCTGCTCAGCCTTGGGCACTGAAGAGAAACCCACCTGAATCTGATTGAAAGGCACCTCAAAGACAAATGCCTCATTGAAATAAGGGCTCAAAGTATTTTTCTTCACACTCGTCTTCTTCTTCTTCCACTTCTTCTTGTTCAAGATGAGATGCACCTTGACAAAAGGATCTGAGGAGAGAATGGACATGGCTCCACACCAAGAGTCCTTGAGGTTTTACAGGTCTTAGTGCTATCAGTAGCACCAGGTAGAGAGATGTGAGTGCAAGCAGACCCTGCCTACCTGAGAGCCCATGGGAGTCCATCCGCTTCAGCTTCTTGGCCTCAATGATGAGCACTGTCAGCTTGCCAGTGCTGGGGACATAGCGCAGTGAGAAGCAGATCTCACCCAGCCGCTCTTGCTGATAGAGAGAGGGGCCAGTGAGCTGGGAGCTCTCAAGGCAAAGGATACCCACTGCTTTCTCTCACTGTGGAGTGGTGGAAAGAAAAGCAGCACCACATCTCACCCCATGATGTGTCCCACCTGCTAGGACCAACCTCCACTTTGCTGGCCACCACTAGGTCGCTCCACTGCTCAATGATGTGCTGCAAGCTGACACTGGCCAGGGGCAGGCGGACCTCACCAATGATGTCATGCTTGGCAAAGCGGTTGAAGTCGAAGATCTGCATCACCAGCGTGGCCTCGGACACCTCTGCCTGGGGCACCTGCAGGGAAAAACCCAGCAACCCAACCTCACTCCCTGTCACATGCAATGGTGGGACAGACACAACAGCAGGTCTTTCTGTTGCTTTCCCACCCTGGTAGCAAAGGAATCCTCAAGGTAATCAGCAGCAGCTGTTGCTTCCTACCTGGAAAGAGAAGCTCTCGTTGAAGACAGGGTTCAGAGTCTTGCGGTAAACTTTGGTCTCATACTTCTTTCTCATATCTGATGTCAGGTAGACAACAGCGTAGGGATCAGATGTGCCACCACTGTCCATGGCCTTCAGATCAGCTGCCTGCTTCACACCAACTTTCAGCTTAAAAGGAACAATGCGCGAGGTCATTGTGCAGAGGATAGTAACAGGTGACAAGCAAGCAAGTGCAGCAAGGAGGATGTCATCCCACTACATCAGTATGCCAGCTGGGTGCAGAGGTGCACCCGGTATGGATGCCTGGGTCCTGCTGGACACCAAAGGATTCTGCCAGAGCACAGCCTTGCAGCAGCCTCACCTCCTGTGCACGGAAATTGTACTCCAGAGAATACTGAAGCCTTCCTCTTCCTGTCTCCTCTGGGCTCAGCTCCAGGGCCTCCATCTCAGGTTGCACCTATGGCAAAGAGCAACACAACCCTCAGAACAAGGTTCCAGAGCTTTATGTTTCCCCATACTAAGTGGCATGGATGGGACACCCAGGTCTGAAAGCCCGTGGTGACAAAGTTCACATTCCTGCTCTCCATCCTGGCATGATGCATCGTATGGATCAATTTGCTCTAAAATCACATTTAAAAGAGCCTCCCCCACAATCCCAGCCCAATTGTGCACCCACAAGCAGTCCCACCACTCTGGGCATGTCGTGGGGAGATGGGCATCACAGAGAAAACCTCCCTGCTAGGAGAGCTGCAGGGGACAGGAGAAAGCAGAACGCACAAGGCTAGCTGTGGTGGAGCCACTGAAGGTGAGCAAGCCAATTTTCTCCTTTTTCTTGGGCTTCTTCTTGCCACAGCACCACCTGATGATGCAGATGAGGAAGAGGAGGAGAACAGCCACTGCCACTGCCACAACAATGAATGCCCATCTGGGTACTGGTGCAATGAAGTAAACAGAAGAGTTAAAACCAAACAAAACCACACAAAGTGCATTTACAATGCCCTCCTCGTGTTTCGGCATTACAAAGATGTGTTTTGGGGCTTGAGCTTAAAATCCTGGAGAAGATCACTATGATCACCAAATCCAACTGCAGTCCAACCCCGTCATTCTCACTGAACTATGCCCCTCAGTGCCACATCTACCCATTTCTTGAATACTTTCCAAAGAAAAAGGGGCAAACCCAGCTGTACTCACATGGGATGTGGCTGACAAAGCCATCAAGGAAGCCTGGTGGAGCTGTGGTGGTAACCACTGCACTAGCAGGGGGTGGGGAGGCCGTAGCCCAGCCGTTCCTCTGTGACTTGGCCATGGCAGAGTGCAAGTGACCTGAGGACACAATAACAAAATGAACAGGGGTGGGGATTTCATATGCAGAAGTTCACATGCTGCAAGTAGCACAGAGTTCTAATGAGAGTAAACACAATTAAAATGTTAAGATAAAGCCCAGAGTAAGCATTTAGGGCTCGGCTGCATAGGAAATGAAGTATGAAATGGAGTGGAGCAGTTCCTGCAGGCAAGGCGGGCTCTGCTCAAACAGTCTTTTCATTTAATCCCCATCCCCTCTCAGCAGCCAATTCCTGATGTCATATAGCCTCCCCTTCTCTCCTTCCCCTCTTACAGGCTCAGGCTCGGCTCTATCACCCCAGCCAGGCTGTTGCCCACATGCCAGGTGGCAGCAATGCCACCACACTGGTTCACAAACTGAGCCAGCCTGACTTGTGCACATGGTGAGCACCAAGCAGAAACTTCAGTTTGTTCAACTGGATGCTGAAGCCAGCCAGAGGATATCTTACACTAGGAAGATTCAAAGGGACTAGAAAACACCTCCAATAGGCTCCTGGAGGACAGCCTCTATCAAACCTCAGCCCAGGGCACTCCTCCCAGTGCTGTGACAAGGGCCAGCAGGTATGCAAGTATTTACCTTGGCCACACCAGCACTGTGAGGCTCCTCATACAGAGATGATCTTTAATTTTTTAACGAGGCTTTGCTGTCTGTAACTGCAGGGATAAAGAGTTGCTCTCTATCTCCTCTGGGGCAGCGGGATGTGGGACATATTACCTGCACAGAGTCATCTATATGGGACACCAGTGCCATCAGGGATGCAATTTCAGCTCACAGAATTCCCACTCGGTTTTTATGGCTAGAACCTCCTGTTCCTCCACACAGAAATCAGCAGCCTGGTGACAGACCTGTGCTATTCAGGAGGCTCCAGGCTCAAGCTTCAGATTGTGACAGCAGGTGGACATAGCAGCAGCGGCAAGCAGGTGCCCATACAGCACAAATTCAGATGTTTCATCATGCTTTTTCCACCAGACCCTAAAGGACTATCCTTCCATCAGCCCTCATTAAAAGGAGAAGTTCATCCTAGCTCTGGGGTGTGACCCAAGCTACTGTTTTGGGGCAATAGAGACATGGTCTGGGAACATCGAGTATCCTGGCTTCTGCAAAAGGTCTTAGAGAGCCCTGCCCTTCTCCCCTAAACCCAAAACCAGACTTACCACTGTGTTGTTTCCAACCTCAGTCTCCTTTCCTCTCTGCTTGGTCTCCTGCTACAGCCACAGTGCATGGTAGGAACATGCTGGGGACAAGAGAGGTCCCTGCCAGGAATAGAGCTATAGGCACAAAAAAGACATTGGCTTTCCCATGCACAGTGCAACCCAAACTGGAAAGTCTGCTTTGCCAACCCAGGAACCTGTGGGCCCCACCTTCCTGCTGACCCAAGCTGTGCTCACGCAGGCGAAAAGTCAGCAGGGAACTCCCAGCCTAAGCAGGAAGAAAAACCTGTGCTCCTGGCTGAAGAAAACTGCCCTGGAAAAATTCAGTTCTCCAAGATATCCCAGTATAAGTGCTAGGATATGCACAGCACGTGGCTCTGTGAACTTAGCGCAAGGGGTAAGTACACAGTCAGAGTGATTTCAGCAGCATCCCCATCTCATATTTATTCTTACACATTTCTTCCCTTGTGTTCCTGCTGCATGGAGGAAAAAGAGGTGGTGTGGGGATATTTAGACACCAAAAATTCAGCACTTAAGAGGGCAAGAGGCACTGGCACAGGCTGCCCAGAGAAACTGTGGATGTTCCATCCCTGGAGGGGCTCAAAGCCAGGCTGGATGGGGCCCTGGGCAGCCTGAGCTGGTGGGGGCAGCCCTGCCCAAGGCAGGGAACTGGGTGGGCTGTAAGATCCCTTCTGATCCAAGACATTCTGTGATTCTACAATACTTTTTGCTCTGTATTAGGAAGAGTTGGAGGGTGCACAGAAGAAATATATAAGAGAAATTTGGGTTAAAGGGAACATATCCAATAAAAGCATTCAGGGAAAAAGCTGTGCATGCTGAGTACGTCAGTGGTGCTGTCTGCAGAAGCGAAGCACCTTGGTGAAGCAGTATTGCATGGCAGCAAGACCCCTGTTGCAGCCCATGAGAGGTGATTTAGTAATATGTGGCAATAGCCCCAGTTTTCTGCAAAGGGTCCTAAAAACGGCACAGCAAAATTACAGATTTTGCTCTTTGTCCCTCCTGAATAGGAACTCCTGTGCTTTTTGGTCAAAAACACGACAGCTATGCACACAAGGGCTAGGAAATGAGAGATGTACCTACAAAAATAAACCTAATTGCAGTGCTTGTGGGCAGCGAGCAGAAATAAAATAAAAGCTGGTCAGGAGGCCGATGTAGAAATGCAGCCAGGCATGCAGCCAGCCCGCAGGGCTGACTACAAATCCCATCACGCCAGGGGAAGGGCTGTGCCTCGCACGCAGCTGCCTGCTTCCTGCTGGCCCCAGAGAGATATAAGCAGCAGCACCTGGGTGAAGTGGGGCAGAGGAGTGGATGCTGCGTTAGATGAGGAGACAGCGCTGGTGGTGAGTTTGGATCTTTGTTCTAGCAAGCCTCAGCTGCTTCTTTCCCAGCTGGAGGCACACTGTGTTTGCTCTTTGCTACGCTGCAGGGAGCTGCAAGCATCCACCATGGATGCTTTTCCATATGTGTATATATATACACACACACGGTGCTGTGTGCGCGTGTAGCTATGTGTATAGATATTATATACTTATCTGTATAAATGCTGTCTGTAAACAATACTATAGGCAGATAAAGAGGAATGAGAAGTCAGGCATGGTCTTCCCGATTTCAAGGGATGGAGCAAAAATTAATAGGCTTGCTCTCCTTCCGCAAAGAGCAGCTCAGCTCCACCTCCTCTCCTTTCACTTTCACTTTAAGAAAAGGGAAGAGGAGTCCCAAAAACACGGCATGTGTTAAGAGCTGCTACTTGGATGGAATCTCTACAGGGGACATTTGTCCCTGCTGAGATATGGGCTGGTGGCTGTTACCCCACTGCTCTGTGGGAGGAGAACCTTCCCCACACAGGATGTGGGTGGAGAAAGTAGGGTGATGCTTTGCAATGCAGGGATATAGAAGCATCAGGCTCCTTGCAGATCATGCACCTATATACATTACATAGATAATCTGTGATATATAATATACACACACACACACACATATATATATATCCTGCAACGTATCTCTTTCTACACACCTCCGAAGGGATCAGTGGATGGGGTGTAAGTTTGTGCTGAGTCTAACAGTGGTTGCTCAGCTCAGCTGCATGAGCAGGCCAAGGGCAGAAATGCAGCCAAGAGACAAATTCCAGACATGCAGTGACAGCTCAATGAAGTGGGCATGTCAGTCTTAATAAAAAGCCTGAAAAAATAAGGTGAGGTAGAGGAAATCTGAAGTCCTCCAGCAGCAAGCACAGCAGGACAACAAGGAGGGTGAAGTCTATGCCATGCACTTTCCTTCTGGTCTAGGCATGCACAGCCTCCCATTCCATTGATCAAGTAGCACATCAAATGGGAATTGAGGTTTTAACTCCCTTGCCAATCCCAGCACATCTGTGCAGAGCCGTTATTGCCTCCTCTGCTCCTCAGAGAAACCCCACAGCATATTTGTAGGAGCTGTGGGAATGGGAGCCATTCCCAGTCCACAGGCTGAATCCCTCAAGTCCACTTATAGAACCAACTAGTGCAGAGAAATGAAGCATATGGTGAGATGGTTACAGAAGCCACAGGACCTGGTGTGCAAAAATAGCAGCGCGCAGCACCCCAAGACTGCATTCTGCCAGACATGGGTAAGCCCAGCCTGCACAGATAGCTGTGGTGTAGGGGATCCTGCATGTGCAGGATTGGCAAATGCTTGTTCACCACACATCCCAACTTACTTGTGTCTTCGACATCTGCAAGCAATCTTCAACACCGTGATCTTGTTCATATGTAGATAGAAAATGATCTGTCAGACAAAAACTACCAGGAATCACAGTAAGGAAGAAGAAGCCTAGCTGGATATTTCAGGTCTTTTATTACATGATCAGTTCAATGGTGTTTTCTCTCATTTGAGGCTGAAATTGGAAGATGGCAGAGCCTGAAAGCACAGTCATCAATACTGATGTGAAACAGGTAAGAGTTGCTCATTACAAATGCAGATCCCTAATTTCCAAAGCACATTTTGAAATGCCACTACAGGAGATGACATAACCTGAAACTTTGGTGGCCGAAGTTGTTTGTGCCTTGGGTTGCACAAGCAAAACATTTGCTCAGGTTTAATTTTGGAATGACCAAAGAGAAAACAGTAGTACAAAGAGAGCTTTCATCAGTCTCTCCAGAGTGGAGATAAAATAAGAATCAAAGCACCAGGACATGCAGGGAATGCCAGAAATGCCCAGCTCAGTATGAGCAGATGACTACGCTGACTACAGCTGTGCTGTGCCCATAGATGCACAAATTATAAAGCAATCTTCTTCCACGTGAGCTGTCCTCAGAGCACACTGCACTTATCAGACAGGTTGGCATTTCACAACTGCCTGCTCCAACCTCAGTGACCTGCAGATGAAGATCAGGCTTGGTATCTCTTCATCAAAGTCTCTCTGGCGGTGGAGGCAGGAACCATGACACACGAGTGATGCTTCCAACACGTAGACCCACCACCTCACACCACAATCCATTGTGGCTCTTCCATTATGTTCCCCCAACCCATCTCTGCTCTCACCTTGCAGAAAGATCCCAGCGAGGCACTGGTCATTGCAGTGACCACCAGAGCCATCTTCAACTTGGAAGAAGAGCACCAGCTCTACTTAGAAAAAGGAAAGGAGGAATACGTGAGGCACCAACAGGCCAACCAGGACAACCCCCTTCCCCCAGGCACAGCCTTTGCCTTCATCCAGGTGAGCTCCAGGGCAAACATCACTCACAGTGCAGGGTGAAAACAGCCTTTCTGCCCCCAGGTCTCACCCCAACTGGCTCCCACCCACCCACCCACCCCATCCAATGACCACAAGATTTCCATACAGCCCTGAAAAGCCATCAGTGATGCCCATTACAAAATGGTCTGTTCCCACAGGCAGCACAGTATGTGAATAAGAAGATCCTGGAGAGTAACCCAGCAGAGAAGGGCCTCTTTGATATCATAGTGCTCTCCAACAACAGCCCAGAGAGTGGCGTGCGCATCATCAACAGTGCCAAGCATTACGGTAAGGTTGCTCATCCCTGGGGGTATGCCCCCTCAGTGCTCTCTCCCCAGCACTGCATCCATGGGGAATACAGAGCCAGGGGAAAGCATGCAGAGACTGGGGAGGTGAAGGGGTGCTGCAAGGAGGACACAGCCCCATAACAGACTTTGCTCATATTCCCTGTCCCAAGGCCTGGAGATTTCCAAGTTCTGCTTTGTCAGTGATGAGGACTCCACGCAGTACCTGAAGTCCCACAGGGTGAAACTGTTCCTCTCAGCTGACAGGACAGATGTCTGCAATGCCCTCCGAAGAGGTGTGTCTTTCTCTCCATCTCACCTCCCTCAAACCCACCATATGCTCGCAAGTGGCCTGCACCAAGAAGCAAAGCCAGAGCTCATCCTGTTATGTGGGAGAGAGAACAAATGGCATCTTGGTCACCAACGTATTCTTTAATGGTTCCATTTTCCTTCAGTTTCCATCTATAGCCTACAAACGCTAGGGCTTGTCAGAAGCCTTCACAATTAACTAAATTAACTGAATGTTCCATGTATAATTCTGACTGCAGATCCGCCATGGGCTGGTCATTCCATGCCTGCTATTTAAACCTTCCAATGACTCCCATGGCTTTGTGAGGATGCCATACCAATTTCTTTTTTTGGCACAGAAAGAAAGAAGAAAGAACATGCTTGACCTAGATCTGAGTATGTGCAGTTCCTGACAGTTCTAATGGGGTTAATCCCCTTATTAATTTGCTTGGGTATGAGTGCATCGGCTGGCCAGGGTCTTTCGGGTCAGGAGCAAGCCAACCAGAGCCCAGACTTCCCTTAGCTATGAATCTTGAAGCCTCATGATGATCATCATTGCTCTAACAAGTGTCTCATCTGGGGCCTCAGCCCACAGATGAGAGCAGGCAGGGAGCAGCTTGTAAGAAGAGACCTGTAATTAAGCCAATTACCCCAATCAATTGAAGGTGCCAGTCCTTATTACTCACAGCACGCTTAATCTGGGCATTAGCACCAGGCTTGGCAGAGGGACTGAACGCCAGGAGGAGGGCTTCACATGCATTAACACCCCAGCAGTTATCCCAGCAGCCATCAGCATCTATCCAGTCAAATCAGCAGCTCTTCTTTGTGCTCCCCAGATAATTCAGTCTTGGAAAGGCCAGGATGACCCTCATGGAAAGCATCCTTGATGAGAGCCCAACCACACCAGTGTCTCTCCGTAGGACATTTGTAGTGTGAGATGAGACCACAGAGAGGAGTTGCTCGCATGCAAGATGCCTCACGATGTGGTATCTCTTATGTCCTCCACAAACCCATCTTGCTTTATCTCACAGGGGTCTCGGCAGCACTCGTCTTCCAGCAGGAGGTACAGGCCCCCAGCACCCCGCTGCGTGTGGCCTTTGATGGAGATGCTGTGCTTTTCTCTGATGAGACAGACCAGGTCTTCCGGGAGCAGGGCCTGGAGGGAGCCATGCAATATGAGCGGGCGATGGAGGCTGTGCCTATAGGAGAGGTGAGCAAGGCAGCCATAGTGAGCATGTCCTCTGTTAGGGCATTGCCACAGGCAGCCAAAAAAAAAAGCACAAATCCTTACGGTTTCCCTCTGCGTTTACCAGTCCTCAGTCCCTAGGCTGCCTGACTTGGTGTCCTACCAAAAAGAGGAAAAAGCAGACTGAACAGGCTGGGCAGATGTCTCCATGTTTCCTATGCAATCTCAGGTGTCTTGGTGTGTTTGCAGGGTCCCATAAAAGCCTTTGCCATGCACCTGGGGAATATGCGCAAGAAGTTCAGTCAGGAGGAGTCCCCCATTCGCACCTACCTGGTGACAGCCCGCAGTGGCCGGGACATGGGCATCCGAGCCATCAAGACACTCCGGGAATGGGGTCTGCCCATCGATGAAGCCTTCTTCATGGATGGGGCTCCCAAGGGCCCCATTCTTGCTCAAATCCAGCCACATATTTTCTTCGATGATGGCCTTCATAACATCCAGGGGGCTCAAGATGTGGGTGTGCCCTCTGCATGGGTCCCCTCGTGCTGCTGACAGACTAAGAACCTGCAGCCTTCCTTTTCCCTCTCCAGCAGATAGGACTGAGCCAGCTGAAGGCAGACCTGGTGGGAGGGAAAGAATTTCCCAGCCTGCAACAAGAACCCCAGGGGGTAAAAGCATTGCACAGGAAGACGAGCTACCAGGGAAGACCTGATGTTCAGTCCTGCTCCTGACACAAGATCCTCCAGGCCTCAAAAACCAAGGGTTGCAACCACTGCAGGAAGAACAAACACCCTGTTAGGAGACTCACAGCCCCTGGAGCAGCAGCATAAAGACCACGGACAAGGTTGCAATACAGGTCCCTCCAGGAGAGGGCACTGGAGACAGCCACCTACACCAGCAACTAGATAGGGAGCAGAGCTTCAGGCTATTACTCCACACCTCCAAACAGCAGCATAAGCCAAAGCCTGTGCTTAAACAGGGACGTGGGTGGTGGACATAGGAGGAGGGGTCCTAGGTGTGCCTGATTAGGGTAAATGGGTTCTGAGTGCCCTACCCTGATGACCCTGTGTAGGGATGACTTTTCTTTCTCCGTTTTGACTCTGCTTCTAATGTTTCCAGACGAAAAGCACCCCCCAAAGCTTCCCCTGCAATGCAAGCTTCCCCTTTTCTCTCTAGGGCTGGATGGTAGGGGCTGCCACTAGAGGCTGCTGCACTGCCTTGCTGTCACCTATGCTACTGGGAAACACGGTGGGTCCTCAAAAACCACCATCAAAAAACAGCCATTTACCCCCACTCAGTCTTGAAACTGGAAATTCTCTCCACTGTGTAACTTTCCATCCATTTTTTCAAAAAGGAAAACAAAAGAATAATAAACTGAAATACAGATTTCAGGGCAGACTACAGAGAAATTAGTTTTGGTTTCTTGTTGTTGTTTTTGAAGGATTTGTCACCCTCACCAATGCTTTTTCACTCAGTAAATAGTAAATAACAGTCATGTGATTTGCTGGTGTCTCTAGTTGAGCATGCTTAGTGTAATATCTCAGAGCTGCTTTGCAGACATCGGGGTTTTTTGTCCTGTTCTTACCTCAGATATGCACACGGGGGGCCCATCAAGCAAGGCTGATCACAAGAAGCCTTCAGTAGGCTCTGGATTAGCTCCCTGCAGAGCGAAGGCCATCAAAACCCTCATCCAAACCTCAGAAAATGCCAATTTTTTTAATGTATCACCAGTGAGTCCCATCCTGTGTACCATCGTACCTCAATGTTAGCTCCCACACATTCCCACCCAAGCGACTTTTACCTCCTGGACCACAGAGCTGCGGCTGAGGCAGCTGCCCCCACTACAGGCCATGGGGTGGCCACTCGTGTTCCCATCTGTGTCTCTGCTGCTCTGGTTTTGGGGCAGGTTTTGCTCTGCACGAAGAGCTGCTGGATGAACTCACCTCCAAAACAACTTTTTTCCAAGTCTAGATGCTGAAATCACATGTCTAAAAGTAGCCACATCAATAACATCAGCTCCTAATCATTTGCTAATAGTGCTAAATACCTGTCAGCCTCAATCAGTGAGCAAACATTAATTATGGTGCGTTCCAAACAAGCAGGGGAAGATGTTCGTCACACTTTTATGGAGGTCAGATATTGTCAGGCAAGGTGGCCCAGTATTGGTGTTTGACTTCGCTCATCATGCAGGGCTTGGTGGCATCGCATGGTGGGGACTTTGCCCCCTATGCTGCTCTGGCCTTTTCCGATGCTGATGTGGTTTTGAAAGATGAGGCAATCCCTTACCCCCGGGTGAAGATGAATGTAATACTGGCCTTGGGTAAGGGGGATTAGCTGAGTCAAGGCTCTGGGGATGAGAGCACATGAGCAGTGGCAGAGTGCAAGGTGCTGAGGCAAGGGGAACACACCACGTGCCTTCCTCCAGCACTGTCAGGAGGAAGGATGACAATGCAAAATGTGTCCAAAATGGGGAAAAAAGAAAAGGAAGCACAAAGTTTGGGGGATTGCATCATATAGGGCCAACTGCTACTGCTTTGGGCCATTGCCTGTAGCTTTCCCCCCGCTGTTCCAAAGGTGGAGCATCGAGAACAGCCTCCAGCAAGCACTGCTTCGTTAGCCATCTGCTGCGTGGGGAAACGTCTTGCTTCCATCTTACAGATACCTGCAGTAAACTCATTAAGGGTTGGGACAACAATGCTGTCATCGTTGCCTGGGATAATCCTAAAGTCTTGGCTGTCCCAGGCACTTCCAAAGGTGCACAGAGGGCTCTTGCACTTGGTTTTGGCCATTGCTTCTCAGTATGTTTTGGCAACTCACATTGCCCCAGCCAAAGCTGCTAAATGCTGGGGCCCCCCCAAGGTATAGTCCCAGCACTCATGGGACACCCCCAGCACCCTAACCCTAAGCCTAAGGGCAGATCCATCTGGAAATTAGAGGAGATCATTAAAAATAGTGCTGGTGGGAAAAAGAAGAGAGATGGCCCTCACTATGCATACTTGGAAATACATCTCCCCCATGGAATTCGAGTGGTCTCCATGATGACCACACCCTGCTCTGCTCCATTCCTTGTCATTTATCTCCCTGGTGCCCCCAGGGGCATTGCTCAAGGGATGTGATATGGGTGCATCGGTGCCAGTACTGCCCATCACATCCTGGCGTGGGAGGTAATGAATCGATGCCATTATCAACACTGCCATCCATCCCATCAGTTACTGTTCCCTGTGCTTGTATACACACATGCAGACACAAAAACACATACACACCAATCCCTGCCAAAAAACCTGGAGTGAGGCAAACACCACGAGCTCCCTGCCCCAGGGACAGTCCCCGTGGTAGGTGCCAGGCAAGAGCCTGGAGCTGGCAGCTGTGGGGGCAAAAGGACAGAGTGGGGAAGGATGTGCGAGCCCCCATAGCAGAGAGGGGCCCAAAGGACACACAGGATACAGGGATGGGATATGTGAGGTTTGATTGCAGTCCAGCATGGGAGAGGCACTAGGGCAGTCCGTGGGCTTGAAGGCATGTCCCTAAGCATTTTGCTGAGTAAAATCTTTTCTTGTGGAACATAACTAAGGGAAAGCATGCAAAAGGTAGATGAGAGGTTCTCTCCCAGCCTTGGCCACTGGTGAGCTACCCTCGCCTGCCACTAGGATTGGGATTTGGTGTGAGAGACACCAAAGAACAACTACCACCCAGTCAAGCCCTGTAGCACCCACACTTATCACAGAATAGAAACATAGAACCATAGAGACTTAGCATCTTTACAAGGTGATTGCATTGTGGCAGCGGAAGAATGCTTGCGTAGGATCCCAGTCAGCTCTGCACCCAAAGCAGCCCCAAGCAGCTGACTGATAGCATGAGGGCATGGGGAGGGGCAGATACTCCACCTGCTCCGTCACAGGCATCTCTTCCCTCTTATCCTTGTGTTGAAAATGTGCCCTCGTGTGAATTTTCCAAGTGTTTAGGAAATGGCATTGGGAATGGGTGAGGTCCTGGCATAGCACCAGGAAAAAGTTTCCACGGCTGCTCTCTGGGCTTGGGACTGGTGAAATAGGTTCTGCTAATTAGCTGCAGCCATCAGCATCTGCACGGCTGCTGCACAGTCACCACAGCTTCAACCATTTTGCACTGTGCATGTCCAAAATCATAGAATTATTAAGGTTGGAAAAAAAACACTCTAAGATCATCCATTCCAAGTACCAACCCAACCCACCAAGCTTACTAAACATGTCCTCAGTGCCACATCTCCATCTTTCTTGAACACCTCCAGGGACGGTGACTCCACCATCTCCCTGTGCAGCCTGTGCCACTGCATCACCATTTTTTTTGGAGGAGAACTTTTCCTGGTACAATCTGCAGGATCTGCCTGGTCCTGCTGGTGTCTCCTGCAGAGAGGACCCCTATCCTGGTGTGTCGGAGTCAGGGTGCTCCTCCATCCTGCAGGGTTGAATCATCTCCCCCCACACACACCTGGAGAATTCACAGGAGGTTGTGAAATGGTGGCCCCAAGCCAGGGTGCGTCACTTGCCGCCCACATCCACCAGCTGATCCAGCACAGTGCTTGCCTCTGGATGGAGTCGAGAATAGGAGTGTCTCAAAGCAAGCAAAACTTTCTGTGTTTGCATCAGGACAAACACCCCATGGAAATAATGAGGGAGCGCTGAAGTGACACCTGGCGACCAGTGCTTGGTAGGGCCACCACACCCCAGCACATGAGTGCATCAGTGGCAGCTCTGAAAGCCTCAGTGCCAAGGGCTGAAGCTGGGTTAAATGCTCTGGAGATACCTCAAAAATCTGATGGGACCACATCTGTGCTCTGAGTGCACAGCCCCATCTGCACCAGCATGAGGCTGTACGCCCAATTGGCAACCATGGGATGCTAGGGTAGACTGGTCGGACTGGAAATGGGTGTCGAGGAGCTGTCCTGTGTGCAGCCTAAGGGCCAAACGCTGGGTAGGGTTCCAGCGCCTGTTCCTTCCCACTTCAAAGGAGGGTTTGTGCCTCTCCCACTGCACCACCAGCTGCTGGGAGAGCCTCAAGGGGCGGCAGCCCTTCCCCGCTGTCTGTGAGCCCACGGGCAGGGCGGTTTTGCCCAGGTGGGACACGAGGGGACACCACACGTGGTAGCTGGGAACACCTTGTGATGCACCAGCACCTGCAGTGAAGAGGGCACTGAGAGCCCTCCGACTTTCCCCATAGCGGCCCAGCAGCGTTTGCTGAGTCACACGGTGCTGGGTTCTGCTGACTCATGGCTAGCAGTACTCATGGCTAGCAGTGCTCCCGGCCACGTGCCCGCGGGGCAGGAGGAAGCAGGGCTGGCTGGCACCCAGGGCTGCTGGACTAACGGGCCTCGTGGCCGGGAGTGGGGCAGAATTTGCAGTGCAGCACATTTTTCTCTCTGCCCTAAGACACCGCCCTGGCCCTGCTTTGTTTTCTCCAAAAGAAGCTTATGGATTTGGGGGGGCTCAAGCATTGGTTGCTGGTGGGATTTATCCTGCTGGAGGATGGGGCAGCTGGGTGCTGGGCTTTAGTGGACATTAGAAATAAACAGATCATAGTATTGTTAAGGTTGGAGGGACCACTAAGATTGTCCAGTCCAACCTCCCCCACCATGCCCACTGACCACATCCCTCAGTGCTACATCTCCATGGTCCCTGAGCACCTCCAGGGATGCTGACTCCACCACCTCCTTGGGCAGCCTGTGCCACTGCACCACTGCTTTTTTGGAGAACTTATTCCTAATACCCAACCTGCTACTCCCCTAGCAGAAGCATTAGGGCAGCTCACAAAATGGGCTTGAGGAACCACTACATGGAGAACTGCACAGCCACAGGTGCCAGCCCCTAGCAGGAGGCACCGGGCTGCCCAAAAACACACTCCTCCATCAGAGGACACGGTGGAATGAAGGCATGGGAGAGGGGCAGGAGGGGCAGCGTGGGGCACCTGATGCACAGAGACCCATTGGAGCCCCAATGGAGCTGGGGGAGCCGGTGACAGACTGCAGCTTCTCAGTAGCGAGGGCTGAGAGCCCTATGTGTTCTTGGGGTGGGAACAGTGCTGCTCTGTAGGGTTCCAGGAGGGCGGGAGGAGAGAAATACTGGGTATACTGGAAGCAGTGCAAGTTAAGGGAGGAAATTCTGAAGGAAAAAAAAAAAAAAAAAAAAAAAAAAAAAGTTAAACTATAAAGTTAAAAAGGGGGGGTGGGGGGGAATAAGCCTATCTAATAACAATAATTAAAAAATTAAAATAAAAAGAAACCAGCAGCACCAGCTCGTGACTGCTCCCCCCCTCCTCCTCGAGGCTGAGTCACGGCCGCAGGGTCAGGCGGCGGCCCGCTGCTGCTCCTTCCGCCGGCCCCCCGAGCCGTGCTGCGCCGTGCCGCCCCGCCTCTCCCGCCGCACGTGACGCGGGGCCG